TGACCAAGGGCAGTTGTACAGTCGTCATTCGATTCTTTCAATGTCGGGTCAGCACTCGCAGTAAACCTGTTCTCACAAAGGAGTCTTTTCGTTTCGCCGTGTCAGGATTCATCAAGGAAAGGCACACGCAGGCCTGAGTCGGTATGGCACAGGACGCTGATCGTTTCTCTGACAGTTCTCCGTTACTTTGCCTAAAGCGCGCATCTCGGGCGCATTGGCAACGGTACTCGGTGCTTAATAGAGCTTTGTGATCCTAGGTCTATTCCTGCTTGATCTTCCGGCCTGATCTTCCGGCTGTCGCCCGAGCCATACATTATCTACCTCGACCGGCCATGCTAATCATTCTACTAATAGCTCACGGAGAGACATGGGGCAAGCTGTAGTCCGCGGTCGGCGGACATGAAGCTTGTTATCGTGGGTGTACTAGTAGTGCAACATAAAGCACAGGAGGCGGTACCATCTGGTTCTCTCCCTCTGGCTTCCTCGTATACCTATGCTCGTAGATCTTACATTGGATCAGTCGGGCTCCCTAATCATCGCCTCACAAGCTCGAGTATTCAGCTATGCTGCAAGTGCGTGGAGACAATGTCTTCCTTGTTCGATTTCTGACCAAGAGCCACGACGAAGTTTCATCCGCTTCCTTGTTGACGTGGGACATCACTATTGCTCTGGGTGACGAAGTGTGTAAATATTTTCCATCCAAGCCAGTGTGCGGCACTCAACTGCTGCCGTTCAGGTCGAGCTAATTTGGATGTGAGCGTACATTCACGTCGTCCCGCAAGTACATCGTCTTATACGCCAGTTCAGGAAGGAATGGACTATCGCGAAAGTCTGCTATCTCATTGGACGATATGTCCCCTGGATTGCCCAGTTGTGAGTGGCGAACACATTCTCGGGCCGCCCTTTAGCTAACTGTCGCAATGAAGGGCACTACTCAGTGTCACGGCTGGTGAAATTCACACTCCGAGCGAATGCCTAAAGTGGATCACGATGGAGGCGGTCGTGCTGCAGCTGATTGTGTCTGCTGTAGACATCATTCTCATGATTAGAGGTCGGTCATCCCAAGCTCGAATCACTTTGAACCGCGTTATAGCCTTATCAAGTCTACGCGCTGTATGACCGAAACCGCAGGCTCCTAGCAACACTGAGCGTAATTTATGCCGGCCTAATGTCCCTCTTGTGCTATGCCCTCACCATCATCGTCCCCAGAGTAACCGTCAACCCTAACTGCTCGAGTGTCTCCATGCCCTCCGCTAACTGCCTTTGCTGGTAAGTTTGTGACTATCGAGTTGTTCCACACCGATATGAAGATGTACAGGCTGCCTTCAGTCTCTTTTGAGACGCTATTATTTGCACTCACCTTGTTTAAGTGCTACCAGTATCAACGATTGGGATGGAGACGGAGCCCGATCTTGCGTCAGTTTGTCAGGGACGGTACATGGGCTTTTGCGCTGATATTCGGTAGGAGGTTTCTCCCCGTGAAGGCAGCATGTTTACTGAAACGTTGTACACTTAGCTGCTATGGTCGCCATTACCATAACGTATTCTGTGGTCCGCTCACCCTTGACGGGCGTGGTTTTTCCGTGCGATACCTAGTTTTGACTCATAACGATTCGCACTGAGATGAAGTATAGATGGTTATGGACGTCAGTATCAATCGTGGTACGTGATAGGCCAGTGGCAAAGGGATCAGCTGGCTAAAGATGTGCAGAGCGCTCGCCTGATCTTAGACCTTCGGCGTGCCTTCAACCAGTGCAAACCGGCGCCGCGGTTGTCAGGCATCGAAATTGAGCTTCCGGATACGCCTCAACTTCCGGATACTATGTTAGACGCCAATTTGGATCCCCCCCATAATGAGCGACTGCAATCACCCGCAGAAGCCAGGTATTCCTCGAGCTCGCGGTGCCCTATAAGAAGGGAGAAGTCTCACTGAAGGCGCGCGAGGATGTTGCATGGTCGGCGGCCATCTACCGGCAGGCCCATCCATCCCCAACCTAGCGGGGAGAAGCTCCTGGACTCAATCAGAGACCGTTCTCAGGCTTTTGAATTTGCACGGCCTCGCATTGCAGCAGTATCACCGATATGCATAGAGGCTGGCACAGGTCGTTTCAACACTTAAGGCCGGAGCGTCTCAGAGAACCAGAAAGGGGTGAGCAAAAATAGATACACTGTAGCTGAGAAGCCAGAGGACCGAGATGTTACTTGTACATGGTGAAACGAAGGACCTGGGATGTAGGGACGATACTTGTCCTGCGAGAGACCGGATATGCTGGAGCGGGGGATCAGATTTTCGAGTCGAAAGGTCCCTGGTCCTAAGGAGGAAGGTTCCAGCTCGTCGCTTGCAAGGATGAAACGAACTATAAACTGAGAGCGGAGATTGACAGGGATTTGGATGGAAGTAGGTTGAGCCCCAGAAAGATCGATATTCACTAGGCTCTCCTAAG